CAATAAGACAAATATATATATATGAAGAGTGCTTTAAGTTTTCAGGTAGGTTCAGGTAAAAATAGAAATTTAATAATCAAATTTAAAATAAAACAATTAAATATACAATGATCTTTTTTAAAGCTACTAAGGTTTTTTTCTTCTTGGTTTATTAGGTTGCTGTCACTTTAAGACCAAATGCTCAGTTTGTTTTTAAGTTGGAGTTTGTTTTTACTGGATCAATTTATAATCTCATGAATAAAATGAATTATGAAGTAAAGAAATACAACAATAGCTTCAGTCTGTACATGAATATCTGTAATTGAAGATACTATATTTTAAACACGCTTCTCATTTATTTTGATCTGTTGAATACTGTAGCTGAAAAGAAAACTTTCTGAATAAAACAAACAAGAATAATCTGATCTCCGTTCTTCTCTAATTACATAATTAATCTCATGTAAAAGTTTAGTTTGTTTCATTGGGTTTTGGGCACACATGACCTCCTGTAACACCCATCAGCGCATCAAATGACAGACGATGTTAATAATTGCAACTCAAACGTCATTTAGAAAACGAATAGCGTTTATCTTCAGCGTTTGAGTCTGATCTCTTTTGTTCTGGTGTTTATTTTCGAAAGACTCAAGCCGCATCTGTTTGTCAATCAGCATTAAGCGCACAGTTTCTCAGCTCCGCAGGAACAAAGCAGAGGTCAGAGGTCACGCGTTCATCCTCCATCTCACCTGTGCATTAAAAATATCCAGCGTGAAATGTCCCGGCATTACGGGACTAACACAATTCGCATACTCAAACTATACTGTCAATTAAAACCGAAGCGAGCGCAACACAATTAGTCATTGTGCACTAGAAGAAAAGCGCAACAGGAGATAAAAACACAAACCCTGTAATTACAAAATAAGAGAGCGGAGGATTTTCCCTGTAGCAGGTGGTTTCAACTTGACAAACTCTTAAGATACAGTGCAATTACACAAACCTGCAATTAGCCAAGAATCGCTAATTAGCCACAGCACTGAAGAATTGGAGATTGCATTGTTAATCTCTGCTTGTATTAAAAAGTCACAATCGCATTTCTCAGCAATTACGTGCGCGCCGCGGCAGGATGGAGACGCGATTCGTGTCTCGCGGCAGATGCTGCTTATTTCTCTGAGGACTTCTGGATGCTTTTGTTGTCAGTCGTCCAGCAGTCTCTCGCGGGAGAGCCGCGCGTTTGATGAGCGTGTCTGAGCATCGGGGTTATTTGTTAGCGTGAGGACGCCGATGCTCATGATAAAATACTAACTCAAAATGAAGTGTGCTCCCAACGGAGGAGAAATCACACTCAACACTGAGAGTCTCTACTGCTTCTCAGCTGTTTCTCCTGAGAAAAAGACCTCAGGAATCTCGCATGAGTCTGCTCTTGAGTTTCAGAAGAGATCTCAATAAAGCTGTGCTGGGATTTGACAAGAGAGTGAAGTGTGCAATCAAAAATCTCAGTCTCAATTTGAATTCTCATGAGTATTGAAGAAGCACAGACCAGAAGAAGTGTTTTGGAAACCGGTTTGGAAAATAATTGCTATTTGCTTTGAAATTAAACAGTGATGCAGAAACTACATACATATACATACATAAACAAATAAATAAATAAATGTATTCACCAGTAGGTGGCGATGAGTGACTGTCTTTATGAATGAGTAATTGAATCATTTAATGAATTGATTCATTCAAAATCATCAATTCATTCATGAACAAAACAAGTTGCTGTCTTTATGATTGAGTCACTGAATCATTCACTGAACCGATTAAAACAAAACAGTGATTCATTAAGGAAAAAACTAATTACTGTCAATAAATGAGTCATTGAATCATTCACTGAACAGATTACAACAAAACATTGATTCATTTAGGAACAAACCAAGTTACTGTCTATGAATGAGTCATTGAATCATTCACTGAACAGATTATAACAAAACAGTGAATCATTTAGGAACAAAGTTACTGTCTATGAATGACCTTGTTTGGTTGTAAAGTTAAGGCAATAAAAAAAGGTTACTGTCTATGAACGAGTCATTGAATCATTCACTGAACTGATTAGAACAAAACAGTGATTCATTCAGGAGCAAACCAAGTTATTGTCTATATGTGTGAGTCATTGAATCATTCATGAAGTGTGTAGTTTCTGCACTATTTCAAAGCACAGATAACTATTATTTCCAAACAAGTTTCCCAAACACTCCTACTGTACTGACCCGTCCATCCCAAATATTCATGTGAAATAAGTGATTAAGTGATTTAAATTAAAATTGCTATTTTTGATTGCATACTTCGCTGAATATATAAATGAGCTCGTCACCTCAATGACCATCAGCACAAGACCACGGAAACCAGACGAGTCCTCTGCACAATCTGACCCGTGATGCAGCCTGGAATTAAACCACACCATGCTGGTTTCGTCTGGCCTGAGGAGAACTGGCCCCCGACTGAGCCTGGTTTCTCCCAAGGTTTTTTCTCCATTTCTGTCACCAATGGAGTTTTGGTTCCTTGCCGCTGTCGCCTTTGCTTGCTTAGTTGGGGATGCTTGACTGATTGCACAGACACTATTGGAGAGAACTGAACTGGATCACTGAATCATCGATGAACTGACTTTAGCTGGAAAATGACTCTTTGTTATTGTCCTCTTGCATTATTGACAAACAATTTTCCTGTTGACACTGTAAAGCTGCTTTGACACAATCAGTATTGTATAAAGCGCTATATAAATAAAGGTGACTTGACTTGATTAATTAAATTATATAAACATAAATTATATGTTTTATATATTTTATATCAATTAACAGCAAAATGCACTCTATTATTATTACTATCAATATTTATGAATTCATATTTTTTATTGATTTATTCATTTAAATGTATTAATTATTTTAAATGTAATTTTCTATGTATTTTAAGGTCCAATAATGTCAGTCTGAGTGTGAAACACAGCATGTGCTGCTCTGTGGTGGTGTTTCACTCATTCAGACTGTCTGTTCTGCCCAGTTCATTTCCTAACATGACTCTTTTTGTGTCCATATGTTCATCCCCAATGGCGTCCATAAAAGAGCTTTTATCCAGAAACGCCTCTCATCATGACACATCGAATACATCAGCTGCTGAATGTCGTACGCCGAGGGTTCGAGGAACTTCCTGCAGGTCGGTACAAACCAAACTCATTTGTGAGGCTGATGGGGGAGCGTTTCATCGAAAAATAATTGAACTTCCTCTTTTAATTAAGGCGGCGGCGGCGTGTGGACCAGCGGGAAGCTGCTGCAGTCTGGCAGGTGTCGAGTCGTCAAACACGAGCCACTTTGTAGGTTTGTGTCAAGAGCAACAGGAAACATAATTAATTAATGAGACGCACTGCAGCGCTGGATGACAGAAGAAACGGCGGATACGAACGAAGTTCAATTCTCTATTCTTCTGACTTTTTATTTTTATTTAAAAAAGACCCTCTAACACTAGCTTTCCCTATTCTTTTTTCTATCCTATCTACTTGTTTTCTTTTTATTTATTATACGTGTCCCTGGACCACAAAACCAGTTGGGTCAAATATCAGTTTTCAGGAAATATCAGTTTACATTTCCAAACATTCATTTTGACATTAATTGTAATAATGCAGTGAGATTTTTGTGCTCCACACAGAGATCTGATCTGATCATCATCCAGTCTGTCTGGAATGACATGAAGAAACAGAACAAACTGAGACAGACTCAATCCAGAAGAACTGTGGCAACGTCTCCAAGATGCTTCAAGAAACCTCCTGCAAAGCTCCCTGAGAAACTCTGCTCGAGTGCGAGGGCACAAGCTGCTTTAAACGCAAAGGATGCTCACACCAAATGTTGATTTAATTCAGTTAATAGAAGTTAATTGATCAAGAAAATCTATTTATAACATTATTTTTGACAGCATCCTCATTTTACAGCATTATTACACAAGTTTTGTGGTCCAGGGTCACAAATGTAAATGACTAAATGAATGAAGACGTTCTCACCTGGTAGAAATTGGGCCAGAAGGTGCTGATGGCCAGCTCAACCTGCTGCCATTTCTTCAGAGCCGGACCGGACGAGTTCCACACGGCGATGCCCAGAGGACTGTTGTTCTCCTTGACGTAGATGAGGAGCTGGCCAGGGCTCGAACCCTCTCGACCGGCGCTGTAATACTCGAATATGACGCAGTGGGTGTCGTTCTCTTTGAACTGCGCCATGTAGAGCTGCGCTCGCTGACCAGAGACCCGGCCTGATGTGTTCACCATCATGAACGCTGAACCTGAGGATGGGAAATATCAAAAGTTAGGTTACAAGCTGAAAATACAACACAACAACAGTGCAAACTAATGTAATCAGTCCCGTCCATTTACACCTGTGTGAATCTACCGCAGTATAAACACTGATACTGATCAGCAAATAACACCAGAGCATCCAGAAAGCAGGTTATGTGCTCAAGTATACAGTGGTGATATTTAAAGGAGACATATTATGCCCCTTTTTACAATATGTAATATTATGCTCGTCTGTGCAGCCAAACACAGAACAGTTAGCATGTTTTGCTCAAACTTTCGTCATGGCATTAGAGCTGGTACACCGTTGTCGCTTGTGAAATAAAATGACGGTGCCGTGGGTGGAAACTTACAGATTAAGGGGCGGTAATATTATAATGAGATCCCTTTGCCACGTCACCAAGCGAGCGAAATCAGACGCGCTGGTTTTCTCAGACGCTTGCAGAAAAAGGCTTCCCAAAACAAAGTTACTGGGTTAATCTTTTTCACGTTTCCTTGGTTGGTAGATGCACCGGGGACCTGATTATAAGCACCTAAAACCTGGAAAAGTCAGATTTTCATGATATGCCACCTTTAAAAGACTTTCAATTTAAAACCTTTCAGTTAACTTAAACTCAACCATAATTTATTTTTGTATCATTAATATACTACTATAGTTTTAATTAAATATTTAAATTATTTTTATATTTTCCGTTTTAATTGTAGTTAAAATTTTCATAATTTTGTTGTGTGTTTCTGTCATTTATTATTTTTTAAGAGGTCTATATTGTTTTTTGTTTTGTTTTTTTTTATTTCAGTTTTAGGTTTTGTAGTACTTTATCTTAAACTAAAGGAACCTTAGAAATTTTGAATACTTAGAAATCTAAATAACAAAAAAAATTTGTTTACTTTTACTTATCTTTTATATATATTTTCAGTTAGTTGCCAAGGTAGCATTTCTAATTTTTTGTTTAGTTTAAGTTGAAGTCCTAACTAAACTAAAACTAAAACATAAACATTTATGTTACTTCACATAAAATAAACATTAACTTGAATAAAATAAAATATAAAACAAGTTAGATGCCAAAGCAATATTTCTAATTTTTGTTTAAGTTAAGATGAAGTACAAAAAAAAACTAAAACTAAAAACACAAAAACATTTGTTACTTGACATAAAATAAACATTAATTTCAATAAAAGTTAACTTTATTAAAATTGAGCTTATTTAATAAAGCCTCCTCGAATGCTCTCCTTTCCCGAGTTGTGCTTTTAAGTCGGAATGTGAAAACAACATGGACACCCGTGTTACTACAAAGATGTGTTGGATTTGTATTATTAGAGCTTTCTGACTTGAGTTCATGTGCATTTTCTCAGTCTGGGAATTGTGTGTGTGTGTGTGTGTGTGTGTGTGTGTGTGTGTGTGTGTGTGTGTGTGTAACTAGCTCAGGTGTGTGAAATGTTTGCTGGATTAACAGCGCTGTGGAAAAACAGCTAAAGACAGGAAGTGTGTTTCTAAAACGGTTAATAAGTAGCTTCTGTCACATCAGAGCGGCTCTCGACGGAAAGCAGATGTTGACTTTAGAGCCGCGTGTTTATTTGTCCAGAGCAACTGAAGCTCATTTAACCCTCATTTATACTGCATGAAAACAAGAAGAAACTCTTCAGCATTTAACTCTAGAAAGCTGCTGTATCATATTAGATTGATGATTAGATCCTTTCTAAATGATCAAACTTTACTTGTAATTGCACAAACGTCCAGCTTCAGCTCGAGCTTCACGTGTAGGCCTGTCGCAATAATCAATATATTGACTTATCGCGTATTTTTGTATCATTAATATACTACTATAGTTTTAATTAAATATTTAAATTATTTTTATATTTTCCGTTTTAATTGTAGTTAAAATTTTCATAATTTTGTTGTGTGTTTCTGTCATTTATTATTTTTTAAGAGGTCTATATTGTTTTTTGTTTTGTTTTTTTTTATTTCAGTTTTAGGTTTTGTAGTACTTTATCTTAAACTAAAGGAACCTTAGAAATTTTGAATACTTAGAAATCTAAATAACAAAAAAAATTTGTTTACTTTTACTTATCTTTTATATATATTTTCAGTTAGTTGCCAAGGTAGCATTTCTAATTTTTTGTTTAGTTTAAGTTGAAGTCCTAACTAAACTAAAACTAAAACATAAACATTTATGTTACTTCACATAAAATAAACATTAACTTGAATAAAATAAAATATAAAACAAGTTAGATGCCAAAGCAATATTTCTAATTTTTGTTTAAGTTAAGATGAAGTACAAAAAAAAACTAAAACTAAAAACACAAAAACATTTGTTACTTGACATAAAATAAACATTAATTTCAATAAAAGTTAACTTTATTAAAATTGAGCTTATTTAATAAAGCTATTTTTTTCATGATTAAGTTGAAATATCAAAAAAAGAAAAACATAAGAAAACTGTTACTTGACATAAAACGTTTTTTTTTTTATATATATTTTCTTAAACGTTTATTTTATGTCAAGTAACAAAACTGTATTTATGGTTCTAGTTTTAGTTTAATGGCTGAAAAGAAAGTTCTCATGAAAAAAAAGCACAGAATATAAATCCCGCAGCATTATCCTGACGTTATTATCCGCACCGTTTCAAACTCTCATCATGTGTCGAGGTGTGTCAGTGTTTTTCAGCAATAGTGTGCACCCTTCATTTACAGAGAATAGAAGGTCAGGGGAAAATCTGTAGGTTTAAAAATCTCCATAATTTTTGTGTATTTTTTTTTTCTACTGGTTACTTTGCACGTTTTGGTAGAAAATGTTTATTTACTATTTATTCAGGTTTTTTAAGGTATCTAATATTTTGATAATATTTAGATCATCGAAATTAAGTAAGAATTAAAAGTTTGTTGTCATTTGGAACAGATGAACACTTACTGGACTGAAGCAGCTCAGCTTTACTTGATTCTCCATCAATCATGTTTTAGAGTCTCAAATCTGATCCTCAGGATCTTTTGAGGAGCGTTTGTTTCCAGAAGCTTTACTTTCACTGTTCCTCAGCGGAGGAATGATCTTCACAAGCCTCCAGAACATCTCACATCTTCTGAGGAGCCTTTATTTCTTCAGCTCTCAATCACTGCATTATATGTTTGGATCATTTCAATCTCATCTTACTGAGACATATTACTGGAGATATAGAGCGATGACTGATATTTAGATCATTTTTATGTCAGTATCTGCTCTATACTGTTAGAAAGATCTCACTGATTTACATCACAAGCAGCAGAATTTCATTCTATGAATATCAGCATCTGCAGCAAATTGCACAGTTTTTTCCTCCATATTCTCACTATACCAAACTACATGAGTCATAAAAGCCTGATGCATCAAATATCAAAAGCTTTTAATTTTGTCTAAAGGTTCAATAAACTGCTCCATTTCCAAAAACAGATTTTCCAGGGTTAAAAAAGATCTGGATCCGACAAGATGTTTTTCATGAATGCAGCAGGTCTGAACTCTCTGGACTGAAATCATCTGAACAGACGACAGACGCAGATGCAGACGAGAGCATATCACCACGAGCTCATTACTGAATCTGCTGACACACAGCACTGTATGTGTCACCTCTCCATAACCTCACATATGTCAGTAAATACTGCGCTTTATACTGTATGCATTACTCTACAATCAGAGTCTCATTCCATACACACTAACATGCTGCAGAAACCGACGTATGTTAGTAATATAAAGGAGATACAGAAGACACAGAATAACTTAGTGTTATTTTAGTATCTCTGAGATACTATTATAGTTTCATTCATATTTTGAGTATTTTTTATATATTTTAATTTTTTTATATGTTACATTTTTTGGAAGTTTTTGTTATTTTATTAGTCTATCGTTTTTAATTGTTTTCAGTTTTAGTTTTCTTTTTTTTTCAGTTAAAGTATATTGTCATCATGAATATTAATATTTATTTTTTATAATATTTATTTTTATTTCAATATAAATTATTTGCTGCCACTGCGAACCACGGAAAACAAATGGATGGATAGATATTTGTTATTTATTTTAGTACATCAAGTTAAACTAAATGAAAATGAGAAATCAAGTAAAAAATATATTTACATTTATTTAATATTTTATTTCAGTTAGTTTATTTTAATAACAAAATCATTTATTTTTTCATAATACTTTTTTAAAAGTTTCATTGTAATTACAAAATGATATTTTGTTAATATTATTTATCTGTATTTTAATATAAATTATTTGTTATTTATTTTATTTATGAAAGTTTAATTTAAGGTAAAGCATTTTATGTTTTATTTCAGTTAAAGTTTATTTATGATTGTTTTTGTAATATTATTTATTTTAATTTTAATATAAATTATCTGTAATTTATTTATATTTATAAAAGTTTACTTTATGGTCTTAGTTCTAGTTAAAAATCCTGTTGCCATGGTGACATGAAGCGTGCAGTAAAGTGCAGGGAACACAGGCTGTTAGTGATCAGAAGTGGGAACGGATCGATCATCTCACCTTTGAAACCTGTGAGGGACAAATCAAAGATGAGACACTGAATGGGTTCTTGATTCGGTCCGGCTGTGTGTTCTGGGTTAAAAGCCATTAACACACTTCTGACGGTCTGTTTCAGCCTGAGAAACTCTAATCAGCACATTAGAAGTACAGTCTGATGTCAGGATGGAGGAATCAGATTTATGAGCTGAGCATCAGCCGGATCATCCAGGATTTTCTTGTTGGAAGCGTGTCGATTAAATATATCATGGTGGAACTAATTAGTGTTGATCAAAATAAGTTGTTGAACTTCTTTAGGGTTAGTAATTATGATTTCTGAAAAATTTCCCAGAGGGACTTACAAAACCTCATTCTGCGCACTTAAAAAATTATCTTTATTTTAAAAATAAATATAATTATAATTACAAAATATATAAATATAAAGATTTTATATATTTAATTAAATATTTAATATATTTATTTAAAATTA